AAACAGAGACATGAAATGAAAAGAATTTTGTAAATTAGTGACTCGGCAAGTATGCATTCAGATTTCCAACATGCATTTCTTTTCTAATTCCTTTTTCTTTATCAGTCAAAATAGATTTTCTTTCCACCAAATGATGATTGTTATATGCCACATCAAACATGTAGCAATACCTAGATACATGTAATTTCCCTTTTAATTAAATTTCAAACATTTTTCCTCAAATTAAACCTGAAAATACATAATAACTTTAGGAAGCTCTAAATTCTAAAAAAAATTCTTTTTTAGACGCTAATGAAATTAATCATTTAGTAAATCTAAGTGGCAAATTTTGCCATTGTTTATCTCTCAAGTAAAGAGAGATAACTCTTTGAATGATGTAAATATATTCAGTAATTTTTGCTTTGTTTGCAAGCATTTTAAATTGCAAAAAAAAAACATAGGTAATCAGAGATTACAGAGCTCACCTCAACGAATGTTGTCTTTAAGTAAGGCAAAGTCACACAATTAACCAACAAGAAGTGTACATTCCAAAAATGAAAATATTTAAGCAATTTTAATCTGATTTTGAAATAGAACTACATAAAAAATTTAAACTAGTTCTTCTTCATGAAAATGTAATTAAAATCCAGCATCTGAAGCAAATTTGAGAGTTTTCATCTCTTGATGCAACATTTGTGCAAGTTTGGTTTATACAATGTTATATAAGCCTTATAGTTTTTTGGTAATAGACCTGCACCCATAACTTTTACCTGGTCTGTTATCTGAAAATGTATGTTGAATTCAGCATCTGAAGCAAGTCCATTAGTGTGCATCCTAAGATGTATCATCCATGCAAGTTTGCTCATTATAGGGCTCATAGTTAATTGGAAATGAAACATGCATCAAAAACTAACATTTTCACTCATCAACAAAAAGTAGGTCAGATTCAGAATCCGAAGCAAGCCCAGTAGTATGCATCCTTATATGTATCATCCACGCAAGTTTGGTCATTAAAGAACTAATAGTGACTTGGAAATGAATCATGCACCAAAAACTTTAACTTGTTCACTCAACTGGAAAATGAAGGTCAGATACAGCATCCGAAGCAAGCCCAGTAGTATGCATCCGTAGATGTATCATCCATGCAAGTTTGGTCAACATAGGGCTTATAGTTACTTGGAAATGAAACCTGCACCAAAAACTTTAACCTGTTCACTCAACCGTAAAATGTAGGTCAGATTCAGCATCCGAAGCAAGCCCAGTAGTATGCATCCATAGATGTATCATCCATGCAAGTTTGGTCAACATAGGGCTTATAGCTACTTGGAAATGAAACCTGCACCAAAAACTTTAACCTGTTCACTCAACCGTAAAATGTAGGTCAGATTCAGCATCCGAAGCAAGCCTGATAGTATGCATCCGTAGATGTATCATCCATGCAAGTTTGGTCAACATAGGGCTTATAGTTACTTGGAAATGAAACCTGCACCAAAAACTTTAACCTGTTCACTCAACCGTAAAATGTAGGTCAGATTAAGCATCCGAAGCAAGCCTGGTAGTATGCATCCTTAGATGTATCATCCATGCAAGTTTGGTCAACATAGGGCTTATAGTTACTTGGAAATGAAACCTGCACCAAAAACTTTAACCTGTTCACTCAACCGTAAAATGTAGGTCAGATTAAGCATCCGAAGCAAGCCTGGTAGTATGCATCCTTAGATGTATCATCCATGCAAGTTTGGTCAACATAGGGCTTATAGTTACTTGGAAATGAAACCTACACCAAAAACTGCACCAAAAATGTTAACCTGCTCCAAAAACATTAACCTGGTCATTCCTTTGCTGAAATTGCAGCATCTGAAACTTTGACTGGTACAATGAAACACACTAGAACCATCTTCCATGCATGTCTAATCAATATAGGACATAGAAGTACTTAAAAAGAAAACTGCTCCAAAAAACTTAACCTTAACCTGGGACGCCGACGCCGACACCGACACCGACGCCGAGGGTATTACATAAGCTCCCCCAACTTCGTTGAGGTGAGCTAAAAAGCTTTTCCCCTTTAAAAATATATTCACTTGTTCACTGCCAAATAACATGAATAAATATATAATCTCTTCCACATCTCAAAATCCTGTATATGTATGCATAAAGAAAAATACATGTAGAGCAGTACACATTTACTTTATTAAAAAAAAAGTTATGGCAAAATTTTGAAAATTTGATGTAAAGATATTAAATAGCCATGACAACTTACATTTCCATGAAAGCCTTTCTTTTTCTGCTGTTGGAATCAAAGAATGGAGATCTGTTCTTTGCCTGAGGTACAACATTTTCAGACACTTGACTGGCGCTCTGCAATTAATGTTAATTAACATTTTTACAAGTCTGCTGTGATATCTCATTCCCAGTTTTTTTTTTTTGTTTTTAATTTTCAACCCTGTTTAATAACTACTGTACATTTTTCAACATTTAAAACTCAGCATCCACTCTGGTGGTTAGTTTTAACAGAGAATATCTTTTTACACCTAGAATAATTATCAAATAAACCATTAGAGCCAAGAACAGCTTTAAAAGGAAGATATTAAGCATGGATATACATACTTACCCTTAAAACTCGACATGATTTCAAAGTTTTAGATTCCCTGCCACCTGAAGAAGACCAACAAAGTTGATTTAGGTTACATGTAAGAATTATGAATGCAAATTTTAACATTTGGCAATATCATTATTTATTTTTGTCAGAAGAATTCAAAGTAAGTAGTCTAAAATAGGACAGAATAAAACGTATACAATGTACAATGAAAGCATGCATGGTGGAGTGAATCAAAAACTGGATACAACAAAAACTTGTAAAAAACAAAAAAAAGTTTTTAATTTGAAAGACTTAATTAATTAAAATTGCATTCTTTTAAAGACTAAATGTAATCTACCTATTTCCCTGAGACATTTTTTATACTCCTTTTCACAAATCTGAACTCTTAGCCTCACAAAGTTAACATTACAAAGCCTTAGTAAACTCCCAGTCACAAAAGTTCTTTGCATCAAACTCTGCAATGACCCAGATTTATACATCCTCCAAATCTCTTGAACACACATCAAAGAGTGGCACCGGATGCTGAAAATTACACTTCCATACGAAATATCCAAGTCCCCATGTTTACATAAAATCTTCAATGTATGCATGATTTCCATGCTTTCTTTAACAATCTCGTTGGTTTGAGAGAGTTCTTTTTTGAACTGTTCGAAGGAGGCCGGAGTATTGTCCCTCCTGCGGATGGCCTTGTAGGCTGTTTTTGCCATTATAAGGATCTGCTCTTCCACCTCTCCACAGGAACAGGTAGGCTTCTTCCTTCCGGGGGCAGGGGATACATCCTCAACATCTACTGCAATATTTATCTCCCCTGAAAAATGAAAAATCAGAAACTTATCTGTCATAATTTCTTAAATACATAGAAAAAAAAAAACTGCAACATTACCACCCTCGCCTCACTCAATTTTTCTCATTTAAATTTTAAATAGAGATTGATTGTTGTTTTATGTTCCATTCAAAAATATTTTACTCAATGACATATAGAGACATCATCAAAGTCTAGAAAGGGGCTTCAAATTTAGACCATTACTATGCATTGAGGGGCATTGTGCAGTGAAAATAATCTTTTTCATGTTTATTGTGCCAATGCCCACCATGATTTAGGGTATCAGTTTTTAAGGGCTCATCCTTCAGATCCACAACTTTCAATTCAAAGTATCAAATGCTTATAAAGGAACACTTGCTTCCATTTTTTTTATCAACTAAGGTCAGTTGTTGCCAGGGTTTGAACCCATGACAATCTGATCAATGAGACAGAGCTCTACCAACTGAGCTATCATGGTGGTCACATTTTAAATACATGTAGCAGAAGCTCAATCCTTTAATCATCTTTGCTAGCCAAGGGTTTCTAAAACACTACTCTCCTCATAAATCCTTAGCATACATTGTTAGGGATTTTTTTCACAAGTTGTGATTGGAGTGGATTGACATTTGTTCCATCAATCAGCAATCATTTTTTTGCAAATGATGATACATGTATCTGTGTTCAGGGACATATTTTGACTCTTTACTCTCGGTGATGAAAAACGCAAGTAAACAATGATCACCTGCTATTAGATGAATTGATACAGTGTCATCCAAAATCTTCAGATATGTGAAAAATATTAAATTAGAATCTATTATATTGAACATATTGAAGACATAGATTTCCACATTAAATAACAAATGAAAAATCAATACCTTCTTGTTAACTACTCTTTAAAAACTTTCCTGATTTTAATACGTTATTTATTTCTACTGATGACATAATTTCAGTTCAAAATTGGAGATGAGTTTTATGAAAACAATCCTGTCTTTTCACAGCACTGTATGGCAAGGGTGTATGAGGAGAATGTAGTGTATCAGAAACCCATGGCTATCAAAAATGTCCTTTTTGAAGATAAAACTTCATTGATAAAGCCTGAGAGGTACAGGTTTATCAAGTAAGTTTGTGATGAACATTTAACGTTTTATCTCGTTACCTGTTTGTCGTTTTCGTTTTGGTGTACGTCTTTGACGTGTAGTGGACTCATCCAGTAAATCAGCCAGATGACCCTGTAAGGTTTTCCTAAGTGATTTGACTAATTCGTAGAAAGCTCTATCTGACCGGCGAATCAGGTTATTTAGAAGTTCTTCATTCATTGCTTCTCTAGTCACTTTCTCCTGTTGAAAGTAAAAGAAACATTTACATTCAGACAGCATTTCACATCAAAGATATTCTTTTAATTCATTTCATTAAGCTAATACTCGGTATAAACTGACTTGATTTCCTTTTCTTTCATACATAACTTAAATAGGCTGAGTTGATGTTAACATAGCAAAACTTAACTGATCAGACAACAAGCTCAGGCATTTTCTTTGAAGTTTAAAAATAACTTATATGATTATATTTTATGAGACAGAAATTAGTTCTTGAAGATCATGAAAAATTTGTGAAATTATTTAATTTGTGAGAATATTGTACTTCCACATTCGATATTTCCTGTGATTGTATTCTTAAATTGAGGCAACACTTTGATGTTAAATCTTTTAGGTAAAACCTGATTTCAGTATCCCCCTTTTTGACTGGTTATCTTCAGTGACCTTTGACCTACTTTAATTCTGCCGACATCTGCCGTGGAGATGACCTGGCTGGCTATGAGGTCATTGAAGATGTCCTCCGGGGTCATGTTCTCCACCAGTGTGTCCCGGTGAAGCTGTAGTTTCTGTTTGTGTTCTTTTGACATCACTGTGTCTACTGCCAAATAACAGCATAAAGGGAGGGTAAAGTAATAAGTTCAGTTTATTAATAAGCAATTAATTGATTATTTTAATAAGTGATTTAGATTACTGAATTCACTTCAATTTCATTTTTTTTTAATGCGAATAAATTGTACAACAGAAATAATATGAGTATATGTTGTATTTCCATGCATAAAATCCCTGTTTGCTACTCTTAACAAATAAAATAATGTGACAAAACTTTACCCATATCTAAGTTAAAATGCATCTCTTTAGTACTTTATTTATTCTGCAAATGTGAAACTTAGAGTCATATGAAGTTCTATATTAAGCCTTACAGCTCCTTCTTTCCTCCGAGTCTGAATCTGATTGGTCGTGATCTCTGCCCCGGAGTGGATTCTCCCCGCACTCCCCTGACCGCCTCTGAAGCATGCGGAGCTTGTCTCTCTGCTCGGAGAGAAGGCTGCCAAAGTCATTGTCCTGGGAGTCCTTGACTGCTGATATAAAAAATCAAACATGAAAGTTCAAATACATATACAAAGAAATATACCATAAAGAAATCATCTCTAGTTATCTTCAGTATGTTCAGTGCCTTGTTTGTACCAGGACCTGATCCTACGTTATACTTTGTGTATATGTACATCCTTGGTTTTTATTTCATAAGTAGTTAATACATGACTTGTACATGCATCATCTGCATCTGATATTTATTTTAAAAATCTCAAACTTTAATCATTAAAAACCCTCTGTCAATAAATGAAATATAAGTCTGATAAGGCCATTCCAAGTTTTTTCTATAATGTTTAGCATCCACGTACGCCTTGGTTTTTGACACCCTATATGAGAAAAAACACATAACAACAGGAGTCCTGAAATTGATGAATTTAGTCGAAATATTTGAATTTTGTAAATTTCTCCAAAAATTCTGTTCAGTAAGTTATACTGGGCGTATTGGAAGCATTTAATCTATTGTTTTTGCTTAAGAGTAGATATTTCTTCTATTAAAGCAGTTTAGTTAGATCAAATCAATTGAAGGACGTCATTTTTATGACTTTTAAGCTTGTGCTTTATGTTTTGGCTTGTGTGTTTTTTTTTTGAATAGGTAGGTAGGTTTTTGAAAGATGAGTGGATGCTAAACAGAGAAAAAACTTGGAATATCCCAATAAGGCGACATATGAGAATGAAATACTAAGTCAACCAGTATCTGAATCGAAAGCTCATCTTAAGATTTGATTCATCCATGTTAACAGAAATATTCATCAACAATGCCATGGACCTATAATAAGTGTATAGGTCCCTGGCAATACTGTGAATGTAAATTGTATTGAAAATAATGAATGAAAACTAAATCTTAGTTATCTATACCTCTGTTTGGGTGATTTTTGTCCCGGGATGGACTGACACTTGAGGAATGAGGTTCGTACTCCGTACTTCTCCGCAGCTGACCCACTGACCTACTTAACTCCGCGTACTTCTTCTTCATGTTCCTCCTCTCCAGACGTTCTTTCTCTCGCTCTAACTGCTTTATCTTTTCCGACAAGTCAATTTCATCCAAATCGTCATCAGATTTGTCCCCCATTACGAACATGTGTGTATATACACTAACTGTCGTTAAGGCGGAGGATTGAAGTTTTGGTTGAACATTTTAATTCAACGAATCCCCACACTATTTGTTTGTGGTTCTTATGATGGTTAACTCCAACAACTTGACAAAAATAACCGAGGAAATCTGGGATATACACATGTACTACACATTTTCTTTTTAATAAATGATTATACAACTATTGCGACTGGCAAAAACAATTAACAACTAACCGTAAAGCTTTGCAGAGAAAGCCAATAATAAGTTACGTTTTAAAATTCATCAAACAGCATAAATCAACCTAATTACCTATACTTGAACTATTCAAAACCCTTGTTTTCATTTCCAATTTTCCGAATCCCAAACCCGACTTCATTTCAGAGCCACGTCCCGTTCTCCTTATTAGTCCCGTTTTGTCTGCAGATCTAGTGTAGCGGTCTACGGACGAATAATGACCCCCGTTGAATAATGACCGGGGGTCATTCTTCAACAACAGAAAATGACTATATCCTGTTATCTGCAACGCGTTGCTTATAAGTTTTGGGGTACTTCAACTGTATTTGAAAAGATGAATGGTAGTCCAACATTATCAGAAAAACTTTACACTTTTACGGAATAAGCCGCATGATTTTAAACTATCCTTATAACAAACACACTCACTCACAAAAACAAAGCAAAGGAAAGTATTTAGCCAATAAAAAGTACCAGGAAATCGCGTATTATCGTATTTTACGATTTTTCGGAAGAAGCCGCATGCATGAAATAACTCTTTATTAATAAAACAAACGCACACAAAAGAAAATACCTGTAGTTTTTTGTTTATATTCATTTGAAATAACGAAAACGTGAATTCAAATGCGTTTAATCGCAATATCATTTCGTTTAATCGCAAAAGATTGCGTTAAATCGCAAATTTTTGCGATTAAACGCAAAGTGTTTTGCGTTTAAACGCAATGATTATTGCGATTAAAAGCAAAGTTTTGCGATTAAACGCAATAATTATTGCGTTTAAACGCAATAAAAAATATTTCTTTCCCTGGACTGGCCTCAACGGGCTTCCGTAGTAGTTTATTTCGATATTGATTTTAATATTTTGTATTAATAATCTTATTTGGTTCTACAGAAAAAGCCACATGAAGGACATATGACATACTTGATAAATAACTATTTCTATATCGCATGTAATTTCCCTTGACTATTTTGTTAACATTCATCACTTTCATCTATTTGTAAAAATATATATATATATATATATATGACTGTATTTGTTGCGATAGTTATCACATTTTATTTCAATAAATATGCTTATATTATCCCTTTTAGCGGTTTAACCAATTTTTTTGCAAGAAAATACCTGTAGTTTTTTGTTTATATTCATTTGAAATAATGAAAACGTGAATTCAATCAAACAATTTTTTTTCAATATTCGACTATCAAAACCATCGTAAAACAGAAATTTAAACAACATTACAATGAAATTCGTCGCCTTATACTCCTGTTATTTGCAACGCTCTATGGAGAAATCGATCATTTTACTATGGAGCGTTGCATGCAACGCACGTAAAATAAAATAGCGCTTTATTCCATCAAATGTATTCATTTTAGCTTGATCCCCCAAAAAAGCCAAGCCACATTTTTTCTGATATTAACCCCCCAAGAAAACCCTCTTCCCGGGGAAACTTCCCCTTTAAGTACAGTAATATAGTTTCAATATCAAGAAAATAAAATTCGTCGCCCTATATATATATATATATATATATATATATAGAAAGCACAAAGAAATTCACTTTTTACATGGATACCCACTTCCGCCCCAGCCCGGGGTTGAACACTCGACCTTCGGAATCTGTCTCCTAGCAGTGCAGGAACAGCGCGCTAGACCGCTCGGCTATCTAGGCAAGTCAAAAAACTTGCTTTCGATGCCGATGGAATTCTCGCGGCGCTGTCCTACACTACACGGTCATTGAGAATAGAAGTGAGATACAGTTATTTGGACATTAGTTTTAACAGAGGATTGTTACCAATACATGTTGTAATGAAATTAATTATTATTTATAAAGCACATTTTGCAACAACTCTTAAACTAACATAACTGCCCTAAGTGAAGAAATATTAATATAGAAAGCACAAAGAAATTCACTTTTTACATGGATACCCACTTCCGCCCCAGCCCGGGGTTGAACTCTCGACCTTCGGAATCTGTCTCCTAGCAGTGCAGGAACAGCGCGCTAGACCGCTCGGCTATCTAGGCAAGTCAAAAAACTTGCTTTCGATGCCGATGGAATTCTCGCGGCGCTGTCCTACACTACACGGTCATTGAGAATAGAAGTGAGATACAGTTATTTGGACATTAGTTTTAACAGAGGATTGTTACCAATACATGTTGTAATGAAATTAATTATTATTTATAAAGCACATTTTACAACAACTCTTAAACTAACATAACTGCCCTAAGTGAAGAAATATTAATATAGAAAGCACAAAGAAATTCACTTTTTACATGGATACCCACTTCCGCCCCAGCCCGGGGTTGAACTCTCGACCTTCGGAATCTGTCTCCTAGCAGTGCAGGAACAGCGCGCTAGACCGCTCGGCTATCTAGGCAAGTCAAAAATATATATATTTATATATAATTAAGCATGAGTCAGAGTGTAATCTATGTAAATATACATGAATTGAAAAAGTGTTAACTAATAAAACTTTACATTACAATACATAATAGTACTGTATGCATGGAATTTTTTGTCCCGTTTTATAGTCGCCCCTATCGCCCTTGTCACAAATTGGCGAATTTAAAAAGGGGCGAATTCAGAGAACACAGTATAATTTCTTTTAATTAAAAGAATTGTGACTGGGTGAATTTAAACGTGGGAAAGTTTTTAGCAAGTGTAAAAGAGTGAAAATATCACGGGGCGAAAATAAGCCTGTTTACAGTATAGTATATTGTATTGCAAATCATAATTCAATTACCCGGTATTATCGATTGTAGTCACCTGTCTTGAATACTTTGTAACCCTCATGCTTTGATTTACCATAAAACTTCACTATATATTCTTTATGAGATTTAATATCTCTGAATTGAACACCATTGATGTGCATTTTGGACAATTTTAATAAAAATAAAAAGACTGTGATGAACTATACGGAAAAAAAACATTTTTTCACTCAATCCTGTTTTTTAATTATACTGATTTCTTATGATAAGTTTATTGATAGGATGAGGTAATACAAAATTTAAAAAGGTCTGTCATGTGTGGAATTCTGCGTCATACATTGTAGCATAGTTAAAAATAAACTCATATGTTAAGCTTGAGAGAATTTACTTTATAGTAACAGACATAAATACATCAAAGCTTGGTTTTCAACTGTCTTGGTGTCTGTTTCTTGAATCTATCCACATGTTATATTTAAGGTAATGTCCAGTCCCAGTATGCTTTCTTCCTGTAAATTTATATAAGTTGCAAAGTGCCTCCAGATAGGCAATAATTGATAAATAATCATAAAAATGAAATAAAAGGTAACATGATATTTTGTTGATTGAAAAGTATTCCACTAATTGAAAACATAGGATGCCTATATGATATATTCTTACTTCAGGGATTTCAATGCTTTCTGTCCATCTGGAAGTTCATGTTGGTCGTCATTCACTGTAAAATGTTTTTAGAATTAAAATGCATGCAAATATTTCATAATTTTGTTTTCATATTTTTACTCGTTGCTATTGTTTAATTTGATTCTCTAAGACTGAAATAAAAAAAAATGAAAAGGTGGCAGAGATTATTTTTTATATCGACTACCTACTGTTGATCCAGAAAAAAGGGGAATGATTTCGTCAATATAATCAGAGAATTAAATGTTTACAGAACACTACATGATAAAAATTAAGTAATCTGTATCAAATGCGCTTCGAAAATGTTTACTGGAGACATTTTTACAACAAATTACGTATTATTCATGATAGTTTTGTTTTCTTTTTAAATTCAATATATAAGTGGAATCTTCAATAATAATTGTCTTATTGTACTATAATAAATGCTTCAATAAAGAAAGATAAATTTGTATCAGCATATTGTGGTGGAGTTTTATCTCATTTCTTCGTGTTTTACACCATTTTGTTTCCAAGACTTAACGCGTTGTTTTTAATTTGATTCAAGGACTGAAATAAAAATTTAATAAAGGGGAAGACAAGAGACTGTTTCATATCAAAAGACAGTCTTATTGTGGTGATATAAAAACAGTTATTTTCCAATAATGAAGGTAAAATTTGGATCTCCTAATTTTAGTGGAGTTTTATCCAATTTGTGTAGTTTACGGTAAAAATCTATTGACACTAGGCATTGTGTTATAAAAACTATCAAATTTGAAAATGGAAAATTGTTTTTCACTCAGTTTCAAAGAAAAAGACAGATAAAAAGGAAGAGAGAAATGCATTGAGATGATATTTACCCTGCCTACCATTAGGAGGCCTGCGTCCGATCCTTAAATATCTTGCATATGCCCTCTCCCTCGCTGCCGTTGACAGGGACAGATACATAAGCATATAGATCTAAAGATATAAACATACATAAATATATAGATCTAAAAATATAAACATACATTTATAGATCTAAAGATATAAACATTCACTTTGGAGTAAAATTGGAGTAAAATTGTCAAAAAAAACATCTCATGTAGATCAAACATAACTGAAATATATACTTCTAGTAAAAAGATATTGAATATTTTGTTGTTGGTGCGGTTTGTGTCCTTTTTTTATATTTCACTTACATTAGAGACAACACAATACCGAATAATAATATACTTAAAATTAAGACCGTTTAATAATGGGGTATAAACGTGCATGATTGTGAGGGAATCTTGTTGAATTGTTGAATTAGTACCGAGCGTTTTGGCAAAGTAACCAAAACATACGTTAGACCTAGATTCAAGAAGCATTGTAAAAGAGAATTAAACTGAATCTATCTATCAAAAGCAGAAAGAATTCAACCAGGCAACTTTAGACAACAATAATAAACAATTCAACTTGTTGTTGAT